CTTTGCAAGCGGGGCACCCCTGAGAACTGTCTGTCCGGGGTGGGGGGCAGGACCCTTTAAGCGCAGCCCTCGGCTAGCCTGAGACAGCATCCCCACGCTCTAAGTCCTCCTCTGATGCCCTGCCGGCACTGCTTCCGGCCATCCTTAACCCCGGTTCAGGGTCCACTTAATGTGGACATGCTAGTTTGAATTAGCAAAATGCTAATTCGAACTAGTTTTTTAGTCTGGATCCGTTAGTTCGAATTAGCTTAGTTCGAATTAACGTTGTAGTGTAGACATACCCTCAGTTATTAGCGTGGGAAAAAGTGGAGGACTGCAGTTGTGTATGTGTACTTTTAAAATGTAACCTTTTGAAGTGTGAAACGATACAGTTCTACAATAATTTTCCTGAAAACCTCTTAAATCCTTAATTTGCATCAAAAGGATATTGCTTTACTAAGGTCTAGCTGAACAACTCCTGTAGGATCTTCCAAGAAAAATTTCCCCTAAAAAGTAAAAATTAAAAAAAAATTAAGAGTACGTCCAAACAATGTATACCTTTAGGTCAATGGAGACGGTGCTATCACACTCCAGAGAAAATATAGAGCCTTACCCAAAACCTAGAGCTGAAAACAGAGTAAAAACGTCTCATTTCCCCATCTGCAGCAGGTGCTGCATGGGGAAAGACATGAGAAAATGGATAAACCCCTTTTCCTATATGTTTTAGCTACCTACTTATCCTTAAATACTGAGTGCTACATGGGGAAAGACATGAGAAAATGGATTAACCCCTTTTCCTATATGTATTAGCTACCTACTTATCCTTAAATACTGGTTGAGAGAGTTCATGACTTCATTGGTGATTACCCTTTGCTGGAAGGTTGGACAAAAGATCTCATATGAACTCCCAAACCACTCTCACAGAATGGGTTACTAGAGCACAAGGAGGACCCATTGCTGGCTTCTTCATATGAAAACAAATATTTTATTTGTGTAGTCCATGCCACTCAAACCAATTCTTCACCTGACCACCTCTCATTCTAGCCAACAACTTACATTGGTGATAGAGCATGAATTGCCATTAGGCACACTGCATATTTTTGGCTTCAATACTGATTTTAACAAGTTTCAGGATTTATAGGGAAAGCACCTAATACATCTATTCAAGAAAAATTATGTCAGATGTTTAAATTTAGAAAATAGATTAGTTTTACTTTCCCATAGACTTGAATTGTAACATATTGCAAAAATAGTTTTAATTTATAATCTAGCAATCATTTAAACAAATGTTTTTGTTGCAAACTTAGAGAATTAAGCACAATCATCTGATAAAATATTTTACAACTTCATTCTTTAACTGCCGAAGTTGTTTTGGTTTTTATATGTTTCTTCTTCATTTCAAGAGGTATTTAAAAATACCCTGGCAAGTTCAGACATAACATTTCAGGATTTCAGTGGTTGAAGCTGGAGCTCTCTAGAACTCTAGCTGGAATTCTAACTAGTAGTCTAGACTTAAAGGAAGCTAAAGTTCTATGAAATTCTGTCCTTTAAAGAGAAAAAAAGCAATTGTCCTTATGTGCAAGTTATTGATTGTTCCTAAGAAAGCGTTCTGTATAGAAGACTGTTCTGTTCCTGTGTCATGTAAGTCAATGGAGGTTTTGACACTGACTTAAATGAAAGCAGGATCAGGCCATATTTGAGCTATATGAGCTGTATATATTTTTTAAAAATATTGTATTACTGAAAGCATGACAACAAAAAGACCCTCCACAATAAAACATATCCTACCTCCTTTAGCTGTGTTATCATCCCAAGAACAATCACTTCCCCAACTTTAGCTGTATTGCCCAACAGAGTTTCTATTGTTTTAAGCTGGAATCAAAGAGCAAACAAGGTGAGATTTAAATTACACCGTCCATAAATCTGTTCTTAGGTAAGCAAGTTAGGTTCTGAATAGTACATGCTATAGTTTTTAATACACATAAACTAGTCATAATGATTCAGTTTATGCACCAGAATTTAGAAAAAATGTTGTTAATGGCAACTAGCTTCAAGAATTTTTCAGTGAGTGAAACAAAAATGGAAAAAATATGAGAAGTTGAATTTACAAATAGATTAAAGTTAACCATAGGGGGTCAAATTCTCCCTGGAATAAATTCTATTCATAGTAACAACATTCACTTATCAGCAGAACAGAATTTCTAGCCCACAAGTCATTTGATACCACAATCCACTTTTAGTTTAGAGTCATGGTTAGAAGGACTCAAGACAACACCTGGGTTTCCAGAGTTAGGGAAATGTGACCTTGGGGATACCAAAAATCCTCTGAAGTACAGTTTATGTCATTACCAAGAAAACATTTTGTTGGGTCACACAATGGCATTATAATCTACAACCTTCTTATAGTGTTAGTATATGCATTGGGCATGTTCCTGTTGACCGGGAAGATACACAACAGTCAAGAAAAGAAAGTGCTAGTATAGAATTAAGAGGGATTTATTCTAACTCAATTTAGAGCTGTTTATTTTGCTCTGTCAAAGCTTTTCCAATGCTTCGGATATGATGCTTCGGATATAACTCAAAGGCTATAATTTGGTACCTGAAGCTCCTAATCCACAGCGCAAATAAGGATACAGAAAAAGAGAGAGTTTATTGGCAGTCAACTGGGATTGGAGCACAGCAGGTTTATATCATGACTTTATTAGCTCTGAATTTGTGAGTTTAGTGCTTATGAAACAGAGATGGGGAAAAAAAAATCTCAAGGTTAATAGAGGCAGAGTGTGTGAAAAGTCTCTGTAAATGCATCTACGCCAGATCTCTTCTTTTCCACTTAAAAGCTGCTTTAAATGCATCTACGCCAAATCTCTTCTTTTCCACTTAAAAGCTGCTTTTTAAGTCATGCTGAATTGTGCCAAACACAAGGATTTTGTGATGTGGAAAGAAACTAAGACAACAGCAAACATCTCATAGTCACTGGCTACAAAAGTCAAGATTAATACTTAACTATCAAGTAGGGAAATATGAAAGCACCAAACTACACACTGTGCATACACTTCCCCCAACCCCAAAGAAAATACTAATATATTTACCTGGAATTTACTCCCGTTGTCATCGGGATGAGCACCAATTGCTGAAGGAGTAAACAGCTCATGTCTATGCGTCCTCTACAAGAACCAAGATTAATGCGATCTGGTTAAAAATTATTACCAAACACAAAAGACAACTTACTACATATGCATGATATGAAATGATATTTTAAACTCTCTTATTCAGTTTCAGACATCTTTTGATTTGGAAACCACAACAGCATTTACCTCCAAACAATACCTAGCAATAAAACAGAAGTTTGAAAGAACTTTTTAAAGCCAAGCAAGATGTTTTGTTATATATTATTTATAACAACATTAGTGCCTTGGCAGGGAAGGAGTCACAGTACCCATTGTACGACGTGTTGCATACAAATATGTAGTACAAAGGTTTAAAAACTAGAAGACAATGTTACTGGAGACCACATTGACTATAGTCCCTTTTTGTTAAAACAGTGTATGATTACAGTTTATAGGGATGAAGAAAAATACACACTTGATGGAATTCTCATTTAAAAAACTGTACTAAAAAAAAAAAAAAACAGATACATGTTAATAATCCCTTTTTTAAGAAATCCAAAATAAAAATTAGCTTACCTCAAAATAAACTATTTTTTTTAAAAATACAATCATTTACATTTTCCTTTCATTTAAAAAAAAAAAAGTTACTTGAGTTAAGGACGTTAACAATGCCACGGAAATCTGCTAGTGCCATTTAATTTCAAAGGATAGTCAATTCAACCTGCTACATATTCTGATTTTATATGAATTTTGTAGCTGCAGCTCACGCTAGCTGTTCAACTATACACTGTACATACATGCCTGTCTCAGAGCATAAAATGATGACATTACACAAATCAAAACGTTTCTTTCACTCACCTGCTGCAAGATGGTGTAGCGTTCACGAAACAACTCTGCTTTATCCCTGGCAGGTCCAAATAAATTGGGCGCAGGATGATTAGTCATGGACAGACTAGAACAAAGTTAACATAGTAATGATTTATTTATTTATTTTTAGAAAACAAAGACCCGATGATATTTTAATCTGAATCTCCATATAAGTAAAGTCTACAAAGTCTTCAACAGCATTGCATATTTTATTTAGCCAAGGAGGTAGTTTTCTGCTAGGGGATCCCATGTATTTAAGTTTACACTCATTTTCTCTCCTTTAACATCAGTACTTCTTCCTCAAGCTGAGCAACACCGGACACAGCTCTGTTTCTTAAATGACTAAAGATATTATCTTGTTCTGGCTTAGCGGCACATCTTCACAGAACTCCCATCTCTTGCCAATCTTGGAAGCTATAGAGTGGGATTCAAAATTAAAAATCTACAGCAATCATGCAGTATGTTTTTGGTAGGTCAGCATAATCATTAACAAAAATTAAGAAAGGATTCTACTCTCAAGGAAAATAGGCGTACACAAATAAGTTAGCTACAAAATATATTTCTACGTGCTGCAATATAAGAAACATGTCTACAGAATTTACTACAAAAATCAAACAAATAGAACACATACACATACATTTGTGAAACACTAATGCCATCTCATCAAAAGGGATGAATTAAGTGCTATATGGACTTCTGTTCCTCATCAAACACCATATAAAAACATTCAAACCAAAAAACCGACAGACATACAATTTAGGGTCAATATCAGCAGCACAGCATATAATGTATCAAATAATCACGACAACAATTATCTATTTTGACTTCATGCAACCAAAAGAGAAATATTTGACCCATGGCCCAGTTGTAAATATATTTACCTGCCACTATTTACCATGACCCTTAAAACGGAATAACCTAATGCATTCAACTAATTTTGTATAGAAGTTGTAGACTCTATTTAACAAAAAAACTAAACCCTCTCTCAAAAAGAGTTTGATATAATCAGTTTCCTAAAGGCAATCCATCCTTAACGTACTCACTCTTGAGTCCAGCACACAATCCAAGAGTGCAAGTTCATAGAAGACAATTTTAACCATACAATAATGACTTTGACAAGGACAAATACTGTGAGAAATATAGCAACTTGAGATTTTAAAAATTGAAAGACTTACGGTAGAAACTTCTTCCTTTCTGAATTGTAAACATAACGTGGAACATCAAAGGCCCCAATAATATTGAAAATGTGTTCTCTGAAACCACAATACATTTAAAGCTTTATTGGAGAAAAGAACTTTTTCGAGGAAACAGCTAATGTCAGTGTGCCACGGAAAACTCATTTTGAGTAAAAGAATGTTAACACACGCCCTTTTTAACTCTTTCATTCATTCTCCTCCAGTCCCCTCCTCCCACCTCTGACTTGTATCAGTATTTTATTTACAAATAGTATTTTTTTAATTCCGTAGGAAAATTAAAGAGAAAGTAAATTGTGTGCACTTCTTTCTTACACTAACAAAAATTGCCACATTTTTCAAACAGAATTTGTCAAGATTATTTATTAATATGCACTGGGATCTAGATTAAGATAAAAGAGCTTTGGTATGATCAAGATATTTTTTAAGAAGTGGCTACTATGTATGCATGCTACTTTTCAAATCATTTCATGGAAGAGTTTGTAGGCCACTGAATTTATTGTTGATTCCCTTCCAAAAGTAAATCTAAGTTTTTAATCTTATTATAAATGTATCAGAGCTAATAACAATTACAGTGTTGACTTGTAATGCAATCAGGAAGTTTTGAAGGTTACAGACAGAAAACATCCATCATTGCATATGGGAGTAAACGCCTTAGACTATGTCTAGACTACATGGCTCCGTCAACAGAGCCATGTAGTCTAGATGTAGCCTAAGTGATAGAACAACATGGCTCTCTAACAAATGCTTTGTCTTTGAGCTTATCACAACAGAATTCAAGAGATACAGGAAGGGAAGCTCTTTGGTCCACAGCATTCTATTGACTTCTGAGGTACTCTGCACTACGATCTACTCAACAAATTTCTCTTCAAGACTGAAACCTAAAGGTCATGCAAGACGATATCCAACACCCTACTACACTCTAGATATACCACATCCACCACTTCTCCCGTATCTTCAAGGCTTGCTACTGTCAAAAGAAAGCTATCAGGTTAATTTAATACAATTCATTATTGACAAATCCATACTATTACTTACCACCTTATTAACTTTTAGAATTATGTTTGCAAATTAATTCCCTAATTATCTGCTCCATTATCTCTCCAGGTACAGAAGTTAAACTGACTGGTCTGTAATGCCAGGTATTATCTTTATTTCTCTTTTTATAGATGGAAACTATATTTGGCCTCTTCTTGTTTTCTGCACTCTCTCCTATATTTCCAAGACATTTCAAAGATAATTGCTAATGGCTCAAACTGCTCTGGCTCTATATTTCCAAGACTTTTCAAAGATAATTGCTAATGGCTCAAACTGCTCTGGCGAGGGATGGCCTGTGAGTTTGAGACTCCTACTACAGATCTAAACTTCAGAAGAAATGTTTTTAAGAAAGAACATTGCTCAGTTTTGAATATCAGCAGATAAAAATACAGAGCAATAACTGTATGATTAGCATTGCAGAAAACATCTGACATTTATTACCCCCTCCCCCCAAAAAAAGAGTATGCATTGACAGATATCTAGCCATAAATTTCCATCCTCCCCAAAAAGAGTGTGCATTGACAGATATCTAGCCATAAATTTCCAATAAAAATAAAGTAGTATCACCGTACATAGTTTCATCTACTGACTGGCTACATTCCTGGACTGCGACTTCCACTGTGGCCCGTTCAATCATGTTAGATGACACTGAAAATAAGAGTGCATAAGATTAAAACTACAGCCTATGGAAAATGACAAGTACCAAATTAAATAGGTTTCAAATATTTTACAAAAATACCCTCTTTCAAAATGTCTCAAATATTTTTTACAAATCATGATAGTTTCAGTGAATTACATATGTACCGTAAATTTTCTAAGCCAAATTTCTGAAGGCAGTTCATTAAATGTATTTGCCAGAAAGCTACATCTCTACACAAATCTTCATACTGATTTGGTAGTTAACTCAGAATTTAGAAAAAAAAAACCATTATAATTAAACCCTGTAAACCTGCCAAAGATAGTCTACAAATGTACAGGACAAAAGCTTCATATACTGCAACTTCACTGTTCCAGAATATTTTTATACAAGTTTATATAATTATTCAAATAGATTAACACAATCTGGGCATTCAAAAACTCTAGTCTTCATTGATTCCAAGGGTACGTCTACACAGCAGCGTTATTTCGGAATAACTGACGTTATTTCAAAACAACAAAGAGCATGTCTACGCTGCAAGCTATTATTTCAAAATAATGGTAAGCTGGAGGACTTCTTACTCCAACTTCCCTTACTCCTTGTAAAATGAGGGATACAGAAGTCCAAGTAAGAGTGTTCTTCCTTTGACTTCCCGCTGTCGAGATAGTGCCAAAAGCTGAGTTAAGCTAGTTCGACTTACGCAATTGACATGTCGAATTAAGCTATGCAACTTGAGCTTTTTGCTGCAATTGACATGTCGAATTAAGCTACGCAACTTGAGCTTTTTGCCCTGCTGTGTAGACATGCCCCCAACTGAGAATTTAACTTTAAAAACATCTATCACAAGTGACAGTGTTGTCACTTTGAGTGCTACTTCCTGGTTGGGATGTAAAATTGTGTTTAACTGGTTAACCAGATAAACATGACATTTAATCAGTTAACCAACTAAAGGGAGGGAGGGCGATCACTCCAGTCTGGCTGGGCTGAAGCATACCCTCTTCTCCCCTCCCCCCCACGCACACTGCAGACGGGCCAAAGTGCCCAACCCACCACAGGCAGGGCCTGTTCCCCTCCCCTGCAGACGGGCCAAAGTGCCCAACCCACCACAGGCAGGGCCTGTTCCAGGCCTGCAACATGCCGGGGCCCACGGTGGACAGGGGTTGCTCTGGACAGCCGAAGTAGCCCCTGTTCGCGCTAGACCCTGTGGGGCTCTCCCTGCTCATGGCAAACAGGGAGCTGCTCCAGCCCCCACCAGTTAACCAGAACTGGTAAGCATCTTACCAAGATGTCAAGTTTTTCTTTTTACAGATAACATTATAAAGGCAAGATTAATTTAGAAGGTTTAGGAGAAAAAGTTACTTACAAGGCTGCTTTTCAACAGCATCAATGATGTTTTCTATTGCATCTTCAAGCTCTAATTCATTGACAGATTGAAGAGCTTCGATAAGATATTTACTAGCTTCACTAATTGAAATGAAAAAATAACAGTCAAGATAATAAATTAATATTTAACAGATAAAATACATGCTTTATATCCACTATTTTAATACTGGTACATGCACATACAACTGTTATATGGCTGGTGGTTATTAGCGAGAAAGAGCATAGAAATAGTTATCCTGATACCATTTAAGGCAAAGACGATCTAAAATTTAAAAAGCCCCAAGAATTAAAAAATTGGTGATCACAGGTGGCAGGCCTTTGTGATCTCAACAGATCCTCCAGGCAGGATGCTCACTGTACAATCCAATTTCCTACCCCAGTATACAGGCTTTTAAGGAAAAGGCTACACAAAGTCTGATCTATTGTAAAGAAAAATCAGCTTTTGGAAGACTTTTATTATCTTGACACAGTAGAAGTATAATGTTCTGAGTATTATCCATGGAAACATTAAAAATAAAAGGGAAGGAAATGCAAGAAGAAGAAAAAATGAGAGAAAAATATTCCTTCCACTTGGACCAGATTTTTCAAATTGTTATACTCAAAATACCACTTTCTTGTTCCCCCAGTTCTGAAGGTCCCACTCATCTGAAAGAAGTATTGAAAAAGATAGAAGTTCTCTTCTTACAAAAGAATTGACAGAGTAGTTTTAACATGTGATGATGTATCTATACACAGTATTGTCAGATGACTCACACTGCCAGTATTACTATTATTTTACAATAGGGAAAAATCAATTCAAGAAATGATATTTTCAAAAGTTATATATAATTCCACTTGAAATAAGATGTTTTCATCTGCAGTCCTTCCCTAAATTCAAACTAAAGGCGAGTATTTAAAGAAAAGCAATTCTGTCATTCATATCATCCAACAGCTGATCAAAAGTTACATTTTTATCATCAGTCTGAACTTCAAAATATTTCACAACATTTACGCTGGTCCCAAAAGCTCTGAATTTAGAATCCTCAGAATAAGCAGTAATGAAGTAACTGTAGGACACGGTCCAAAATAATTGTTTTTTACAAATAAAAAAAAACAAAATTAAATGCCCTGCATAGCTGAAACCCCCGTCACAGCCAAAAGGAAAAGAGAATCACTATTATAGTAAGTTCTCTAGAGGAAAAAATATGAGTGACAGAGCTACATCATCAGTGAACTACTGAGCACTGAGATGAGGACATGAGTGGTTGGGGATAAGTTTCCTACCAGATTCTTAAGGAACTGACCCTAGGCCTGAACTCAGATCAGGCTACCCATGAAATGGCAGCTCTGCTTCTTGCAGCTCTCATTGGCTGGGAACAGTGAACCACAGCTACTGGGAGCCCTGAGGGCTGTGCCTGTGGACACTCAGGTAAACAATGTGTCTCAAGGTCTGCCAGCGATTAACGTTAATGAGCTGCAATCCACAGGGGCAGATGACAGTTTTGCGGGGCCCCGGGCAGCATAATTCCGCGGGGCCCCCCCTTTTGCCACAGCACATGCGCAGTGACGCCATGCGCATGCGCGGCGGTGCCACGGCGCATGCGCAGGGCTTTCTGAAGCGCGGGGCCCGGGGTGGCCGCCCCGTTCGCCCTGCCCTATATCCGCCCCTGGCAATCCATATGCTCTTGTGCAAAAGCGTATCACTTGCGCAAAAGCACATGCCAGTGCAGACGCTCTCTTCTGGAAGAGTTTTTGCAGAAGAACTTTTCCAAAAAAGAGTTTTTGCGTGAGAACGCACCGGTGTAGACGTAGCCTAAGTGTATACAAGACCTACATGAGATTTAAACCATACTTAATACATTTTACAACTCATGTTAAGGGCGATCAGGTCATAAATCTCATATACAAAGTTTATGATAAACACTATAACATTAACCTAATCCTATTTGCAAGGCTTTTATTTAGTAAGCCACAGACGAATATGCTTATTTCTGTTTACAATACTTTTAAATGCAAAAGAAAGAAAAGCCTGACAGCTGGCTTGCAAGAATATAATCGACACTAGGTATTTATAAAGCTTCGACCCCCAAAAGGTGTCTGGGAAGTGACAGCAAGACTAGTAGTTACATACTGAAGTCAGTATTTAAAATTACAAAGGATTTCTTCAGACACTGGCGGGAAGTTTTAGTTCAGTTCCAGTAGAACACCAAGAGAGGAGATGTAGGCTTTGTCTGCCCTTAAATGTTTGAAGTGCAGCCATATCAGTAATTTAAACGGGGGCTGTGTCTACACTGGCGCAATCTTGTGCCAAAGCGGCCGCTCTTGCACAAAAACTTGCTGCCTGTCTATACTGGCCGTGTGTTCTTGCGCAAGTCAACTGACGTTCTACTGTATAAAATCAGGGCTTCTTGCACAAAAACTATGATGCTCCTGCTCAGGAATAAGCCCTCTTGTGCAACTGTTCTTGCGCAAGAGGCCAGTGTAGACAGGCAACATGAATTTCTTGCGCAAGAAAGCCCTCTGGTTAAAATGGCCATCAGAGCTTTCTTGCGCAAGAGAGCGTCTACACTGGCATGGATGCTCTTGCGCAAAGGCACATGCCAGTGTAGACCTCTCTTCTGGAAGAGTTCTTGCGCAAGAAGCTGCCAGCGTAGACGTAGCCAAGGTGTGGCCCTGGCATGAGAACTAGGAGAGCGCTCTGCATGTAAACCATCTCCACCAGGGTAGTAGTTAGGCAGCCACCACCAGCCTGGATGACACTGGTGTCTTACAGCACTCTACCTGCTGAGGGGGGTGGGGTGTGTTTTCACACCCTGAGCCAGAGAGTTACAAGCCCTGCAAAGCGCCAGTGCAGACTTAGCCGAAGGCCCAGATCCCCACGGGTATTACGGTGCCCATGGGAGTCAGGAGCCCCGTACCAGTGCGGATCCGGGCCTAGACCCACAGGGCCAAGCAGTCTCCCTGCTGAGCAGAAGAGG